TTCAACCTCAACTATGTTATCAATTCTTGGGGTATATTTGTCTATATGAGCTCTAATAGAGCTATCAGAGAAGGTCAATGGAGGAGCATGGAAAGGGATAGAGGCCAATGGGGAAATCGATGGTTTATGGCAGGAGATTGGAACAACATTTGTGCCAAGGAGAAGAAAGTGGGAGGGAGAGAGAAAAATGCTCACAACTTGAGGAGTTTTAATAATTTCATCTCTAATATGGAGATGGATGAGGTAAGAATGGACGGGTATCAATTCACATGGGCAAACAATAGGGACTTAGAGGGCTTTGTTGAAGAGAAGCTAGATAGGGCCTTTGCATCAAATGATTGGCTGGAACTCTACCCTAATGCCTCTGTGTCCAACATAGTTAGAAGTGGATCGGACCACTCTTTAATCCCTCTTAATTCTGGTGAACCTCAGGTCAAACCCAAAAGAAGATTCCTTTTTGACAAGCGATTACTGAAAAAAGCAGGGGTTGAAGAAGTAGTTCATGCAACCTGGAATAAGGATTAATTGGCCATTCTTTTTACAAGCTGAAAGAGAAAATTAAACACACCAGACTGGATCTTTTGTGCTGGAGTTCACAGTTCAGAACCCAAAATCAGGGTAAAATTGAAACTCTGACCTTAAAGCTTGAAATTAGGGAAGCAAGCAGAAGTGCCAATTGGGAGGAATGAGAGAAAGTGAGAAAAGAACTTGAAGAAGCCCACTGCAATGAGGAGTTGTTCTGGGAACAAAAGGCTAAGATTCATTGGTTTAAGGATGGAGATGCCAACACCAAGTTCTATCATGCTTATACCAGGCACAGAAGAAAGCAGAATTCTATAACAAGGCTTATTTTAGGCAATAATACCATTTTTCAAACCCAACAAGAAATTGAGGAGCACTATTCTGACTTATACAACCAATTGTTCTCTTCTGAAGGATCTTGTGGTGGAGATGAGCCTTTTGATCTTATTCCTCAATCTATTTCTGCTGACATGAATCTTGAGCTGATCAAACCAGTAGATGAGGAAGAGATCAAATCTTCCTTGTTCAGTCTTGCACCAGAGAAGTCCCCTGGAGAGGATGGTATGAATACACTTTTCTATCAACATTTTTTGCCTCTTATTAAGTCTGATTTGACTGATGCTATTAAGAGTTTCTTTGATACTGGTCTCTTTTGTAAATACTGGAATCACACCTTAATTACTCTGATCCCAAAATGGATCAACCCTGAGGCTCTGAGCCAATATAGACCAATTAATCTATGTATTGTGGTTTATAAAATCTTGTCTAAAATCTTGGCCCTCATATTGAAATCTTGTCTGCATTCCTGCATTAATCTGTTAGATATGCTGTAAGAGCTTAGTTTTTCAGATATAAACAATACCATTTTGATCTGACAATTGTATTTTAGTCAAAGTATTTATGTTTGCAGTTTATTTATTCATACAATCATAACTCCATTATTTTACATTGTAGATAATATGGTTCGTCGTGTCGAACAGAAAGGTCATATTATTTCTTGTAAAATATAAATTAATTGTTTACAGTTTAGACAGTCAGTGAGACCCTTGTTGGCAAAAGACTGTAGTGTGGTCTTGAGTCAGTTGGTTTTTGACTGATGGGTTACACTAGTACTTATGATAAGTATTGAATGGACCGCGGAAGGATAATATTATAAGATTTACTGATTGTTATTATAATCTAGACCTTCAGTAGTTGATGCATACTCTTAAGCTGTAAGATAATATAAAATGGGCATATATATATTCATTACTTATTTATTTGATTTACCAAGAGTGATTCCTATTCTGTTAGGATGACATACTCGGTATTTTGGTAAATAAGAGTGTTATATGATGTGCTGTTACAAAATATTTACAGTCACTATGTCCCAGTGCACTGGGTTGATGACGTGTCCGAAACGAGCTCAGGAAGGAATATTATGTCAAACCCTGCAGGTGGATAATTATCTGGCATAATGATTAATGAACTGAGTGGTACTAGTTTCGAAAATGAAGAAGTCAGTAATTAAATTAATCGGCAGATGTTATATCTTAAATATAGGAGATAAATCGGACAATTAGATTAATAATAATTAATCGTTTGGAGGTTTGAATTTATTGAATAAATTGAAGCTAAATGGGGATATCAATAATATTACTCTAGTGGGATGTTTTATTATTTAATTCTATTTAGAAATTAGAAATTAATTATATTCTATAATTTAGATTCCATTAGGAGAGGAATATTCCTTCTAGATTAATTACCCCAAGGTTAGGAGACTATGAAGTCTTCTAGAATGGTGATTAGGGTTAGGAGGAATAGGACTCCTACAATGGAAGGATATGGAGCATGATTGTAACAACCTGAATATATTTTACTATTTATGGAGCTCGACCTTATTTCCATAAATAACCAGTTTTCCTATTTGATGCATAAAATATAATTATTTGCGTTAAAACAAGTAATTAGCATTAAATCTAAGCCATAGAGAATTTATTCGATTTTTAATTATTGAAATCGGATTTATTTAGCCAAGTATCGGTTTTAATTTATAAAGGAAAAACCGAGCCTTGGAAATAGTCGAAATTTATTTAATCGAGTCAAAGCTCGGACGAGCCGAGCCTCGACCCAAATCATTTTCGAGCGAGTCTAATTATTCTAGCCGACCCAATTTATTTTAATTCCGGCCCATTTTAATAAATCGATCCCAAGTTCAATTTTAGTTTAGTTTATTTTAAAAATCGAGCCTATGTCGATTTTTAAATCCCAACCCATTATTACCTATATCGACCGACTAATTTATTTAGTCCAAGTCCGATTTATTTTACTTACTCGAGCATTTAATTTTCCTAATCATTGTTGATTAAATTGAGCCCAATACACTAGCCCGATGTTAGTAAATCCTAGGCCTAATTCTTTTAGCCCAAGAAGATGGAAAACCCTATTTTCCTACACACTATAAATACACCTTCATCTCCATTTTCCATCTCAAACACAACTCAAAAACCCTAGCCTACATTAGATCCATTCACACCTCCATCCTCTCCTTCATTTTCCGGCCACATTTCCGGCCACATTTCCGGCGACCCTAGCCGCCGGCGAGATCACCACGACGAACCCTCCCCGCCGGCGTGCCGAACCCGCCTTCACGTCGGCGAACAGACTTTCCCGCCGGCGACCCGCGTCCAAGCCCCTTCACGCGTCGTCGACCACAGCTCAGCCCACCGCCGCCGTTCTCAGCCTCTGGCCGCCGTTCGCGAAGCTTCCTCACGTTGGCAGCATCCCGTTCACAAGCTCGCCACCACCGTACGAGCCCACTCAGCCGCTTTCCGGCGAGTTCGTGCCGTCCTCCGGCGAGCCGCGAAGAGCCACCGGAGAACCACAGCCTCTAGTCGGCAGAAAGCAACTCACAGCTTTGACTTAGGTGCGATTTTCGTAAATTTTGGAGTTTGTTTGATAGACGAACAAATTTTATGTGTATATTGCTAGTTGATGCCCGTTTGTAGTTGAATGGGTTGTAGGTTGAATATGGACTTGATATTGGGACCATAAATCATGTGTGTATTTTGAGGATGATGCATTTTAAATTTCGTGATTTTAAGATGTCATTTGACTTAGAATCGGGACTTTAGCCAATAAAATGCGATAATTCTAAAAACTTAGCCGATTGTGATTTTAGTTGCAGTTGTGGGATATGAAATTCTAATAAATCACATAGACTTAAGTTTTTAAATTATCGACCTTAAATGAGTTATGATTTTTGAGAATCAAGAACCCTAGTTTATCCAGTTCGGGTAAAGTTTGGATCTGAGTTTAATCATAAACTCATTCGAACACTAGTACCGTTTAAACCACTTTAGACGTCATAAGATTATAAATGAGTCCTTGGGTGTCGGGATGTGGTCGGTCGGCCGTTAGTCGCCGACGAAATCATAATCGAGCCTAAGAAGGCTTTCGAGGCCATGTGTCTCGTAGCGATCGAAATTATCCAACTGACGTGTTAAATATAATCTGGTCTTCATGTGACTTCTTGTTCCTTTTCAATACTAGTCTTTGTTTTGAGTGACTATTTGAATAGTTCATCACTTAGTCAAAATAATAATAATAGTAATAATAATAATAATAATAATAATAATAATAATAATAATAATAAGAGTCATGCACACAATCCATGCAAAACTCATGCATGACGTCAACGTCGTTCGTGTTTGTCCAAGAATGCCAAAGTGATCTTCTCGCCATCATCCCCGGGCCCGGGTTAAGGAGGATTCACCCTCGAATTCGAATCGTTCTCCTCGTCGTCGGTATTGTCACCTCGGTAAAAGGATGAAAAGCAAGAAGCGAAGCTTACGAAGCGAGCAGTAGACTAGCTTACGCCTTGCTAATGACATAAGTTAAAAGACCAGTTCGTCCGAATATGAGACGGCAGACGGTGGCGATAAGCATTGGGATTGATTTTCTCCCTGATCTCCACGGGACCCACCTTTCGAGCAGAAACTCACCCTCCTCGAACTCCACATGCCGTCGACGAGCATTCGCACGGGACATGAACATCACTGAAGGTGGCGTGGACGCCGGTAGAGATCGAGATGGTGACGGATGTAACACAATCTTATCACCCTCAAATGTGAAATTGTAGGTGTTAAGACAGCCATCGTGAATCGCTGCCCGGTCGAACTTCCACGGTCGGACTAGTAGTAAATGACATGCGTCCATGGGGACCACATCACACCATACTCGATCCCGATATGAACCTCCAATGGGAAAAGACACCAGGACTCGTCGGTCGACTGTAACAACATTGCCCTTCTGAATCCAAGCAAGGGTATATGGTTGTGGGTGCGGCACACTCGATAGTCTGAGTTTGTCAACAGCCTCTTGGACGACCACATTTTTGCAAGACCTCGAATCAATAATAAAGTGACAAATGCGGTCACCCACGGAACAAGTCAACTTAAAGAGATGATGGCATTGAGACGGCTCAGCCGACAAAACCCGAGGCGCCAAGCAAGAGCGCTGAAGTACCAAGGCATCCCAACGTCACCATGTAGATCCTTGATCCTCTCAGTGGGCTCCTCGTCGAACTCCGGAAGAGCATAGGGGTGGTCGTCGAAAGCTCCTGTCTCGTTGGTGAATAACGTACGTCCCACACCGGGTTGAGGGCAAGCAGACTGCTGATGACCCAACTCGCCACATGAAAAACACCAGAGGCCCCCCGATTGTCGCCCCCTTTGCGCCGCGCTTGTAGCAGCCGATGTGGGTCCCAGCGGAAGAGCCAGAGAGCCTGTTGTCTGATATATGCAAGGCTTTTAATTATTGAATCATCATCATCGGTCATGGTCATTTTCATCTGATATCTTCTTTTAGGAGGGGGCTTAGATCTACATCATTAACTACCATAGCTATCACGAAGATTGTTGATGGTGTACTGTGAAAAAATGACGTGTCGCTTGCAATTTTTACATCATTTTGTGGGGAAGACGAAATTAGACAAGCTATGGCGATGGATTTCGCATTTCCGTAGTTTCATTTCTTGGGAGGTCACAGGTATGCATGTTTCAAATACTCGGAGTTAATGATAAATATTAATAGTCTATCATGGAAAACTATTAGTATAAGAGAATTTTATGTCATTGTTGAGTCTCATTGTAATAGCTCTATGTAAAGTTCCTATCTCTAAGTGTTAAGGTAATACATTTCTGTAGCATGTTCGGATAATACAAGGTTTTAATGGTTGAATCATTATCATAACTTATTGTCATTTTCGTGTTGTCTGTGTGTTTTAGTCGGGTTGTATGGTTAAAGGAAAAGTGAATGCAAGATTTGGCAAGTACCTCGAGGAGCTACGTGATAATAGTCCAATAATTGTAATGAATGATACCGACGTTGAACTTGTCATGCGTTCAATTTGTCCTGTCGCAGTTGGTGTCGATCAACGATTCACCACATGTCGTATGTTCGTACAATATAGAACATATATGTGTTATACTTTTCAAAGCCTGCGCCGTAGTTAAAGTTTTTTTGCCTTTTTTTTTTTTTTTTATCNACCCTTTTTTACTCTCATGTGTTTCGAATATGAAGCTTCTTCACGAGAACATTTACCAGAAAGTGCTTGATCAACTTGTTGGTGAATACAAGCGAGTGAAGGTTGGGAATCAATTCGATAATGATACAATTGTTGGGCACGCGGCAGTTGGCTCACCTATTTATCAAGAGAATAGAGAGAATGAAACATTAGGTTACTACTGGCTCTAGCTAAATTATAGTTGCAATAATTTAGTCTCACACCAATATTTCTTCAATAAATATTTACAATGTTGCAATGCTGCGTTCAATTATTTGCTTGTTTGTCACTTAGTGTGTTTCTTTTAAGTGAGATAATATCTGATTATAACATGCAATTGAAATATAGTAATTTAAATATGTAGTTGGATATGCATTATGGCATTGATGACAGTCGAGTGATACCGAAAGTAATAGTATTAAGTTAATTATTGATTAGTATTTAGTTCCATGATGATACACACAATTTCATTTTTAAGACCCCTTGCAACAATAAGTTAGAAAAGTTGTGAACGTTTATGCAGGGAGACGAAATTGTCTGTGGTGGGAGTGTTATGGAACGCCAGGGTTCTTATGTACATCTTATCATAGTCGCAACATCTAAGGATTCTGTGGTGGTGAAGACATAGGCATCAATCATCTTATTCACCACCACAGAATCCTTAGATGTTGCGACTATGGTAGGATGTACATAAGAACCCTGCGTTCCATAACACTCCCACCACAGACAAAATGTTCACAACTTTTCTAACTTATTGTTGCAAGGGGTCTTAAAAATGAAATTGTCTGTATCATCATGGAACTAAATACTAATCAATAACGAACTTAATGCTATTACTTACGGCATCACTCGAATGTCATCAATGTCATAATGCATATCCAACTGCATACTTAAAATTATTAGATTTCAATTGCATGTCATAATCAGATATTACCTTTCACTTCCTCACACATTTTGTGTTCCTTAATTTTTGTGCTAAGTGCCAAACTAGCAAATAACTGGATGCAACATTGTAAATATTTATGGAAAAAGTATTGGTGTGAGACTAAATTACTGCAACTATAATTTAGCTAGAGCCAGTAGGAACATGATGTTTCATTCTCTCTATTCTCTTATTAAATAGGTGCACCAACTTCCGCGTACACAGTGGCCCAACAATTGTATCATTATCGAGTGGATTCCCAACTTTCACTCGCTTGTATGTACCAACAAGTCGATCAATTGGTAAATGTTCTCATGAAGAAACTTCATATTCGGAACACATGGGAGAAAAAAATGGTGAGTGAGGATAAAAAAAGGCAAAAAACTTTAACTACGGCGCAGACTTTCAAAAGTATAACACATATATGTTCTATATTGTACCAGCATACGACATGTGGTGAACCGTTGATCGGCACCAATTGCGACACGACAAGTTCAACGTCGGCATCATCCATTACAATTATTGCATTATTATCACGTAGCTCCTCGAGGTACTTGTCAAATCTTGCATTCACTTTTCCTTTAACCATACAACCCGACTGAAAACACACAGACAACATGAAAATGACAATAACTTATGATAATGATTCAACCATTAAAAGTCTTGTATTATCCGAACATGCTACACAAATATATTACCTTAACACTTAGAGATAGGAACCTTGCATAGTGCTATTACAATGAGACTCAACAGTGACATATAATATTCTTATACTAATAGTTTCATACTTTCATGATAGACTATTGATATTTATCATTAACTCCGAGTATTTGAAACATGCATATCTGTGGCCTTCCAAGAAATGAAACTACGGAAATGCGGGAATCCATCACTATAGCTTGTTAAATGATATCAAGGGTCTCAATTTTGCAGACACTAGATGAAGCTTTTGAAATAAATGATTCCGTGGCTCAAGATTTCAATAGCTCTATCTTCACCCACAAAAGCGAAAATATATCCAAATGGATTCGGTGAGTAAATTAGGTACATGAATAATTCTTGTAGCTGTTTCCACTTTTTGATAATAAATCTGCAATGAAACTATTTTGCAATACAACATACTATTTCATTGACTTCCCAGTTTTAATCTAATTATGTTTTTTTAAAAGGCTAACTTTCAAAATGACAAAAATAGTATTTTCATTTTGTCCGACTGTTTACCCCCCTTATGACGAATGCCCTTCATAAAAAACTAACATTTAGCCTCTTAGTTTTAATACAGACTCTAGATTCAAACCTTCAAGTTATTTTTTTGTGAATGTTGAAAGCTTGGTGACAACCTTCAAACATACTACATTCCGTATGGCAAGGAGTGAGATGAAATTTCAAATGTCTACTTCTGTGATTAGATCAGAACCTCATGGTTATCTTTTTTAGTTCCATAAAAATGGGTAACCTCCACAATTAGTCTAATAACAAAAGTTTTCAGTCTATAACCTTCAATATGAGAGCATATTTGTTAAGATAGTGCAAGCCTCAACATGTGCTTGCAAGTTAAAACCGAATCAACATCCACTGTCATTTTTTAATTTTTTAATAGCAGTTTCTTTTGCCTTGTTTGTTACTTGTATAATTTTTAATTCATGGTTGTATGCTTGTCACAGGCCTAGACTAGGTAATTGTGGCATTAGGAATGTGAACATCCCACCAAACATTGGTGGAGGTAGTGAAGAATATGAGAATGATTGTTGGAAACAGTATGTTAACCGCGCGAAAAGGTAAATACACATAATCTATCTTTGTCTCCTTAGCGGTTTTATTTCTCTTAGCTGGTGAATTCTTGCGAGTGCCTCTGTTTTTATTTGCACTTCAAAAAACTAGTTAGTCTTTATTAAAAAGGCACCCATGAGAATAGTCTAATGAGAAAAAAGCTTGTAAATTTCTCAAAATTACAGATTGTAGGCAACTTTATAACTTTTGAAGATAATTTAGTCATGTAATTAGATAAATACTCAGGGGTATATTTGTTATTATGTCAGCAAGTTAACTAATTTGAACTTTTGAAATTGTGTGTGGTTCTTGTTTGAGTTGTTTCTGATTTTGACATGTTTCCTTTGACTTATGCAGCACTATGCACGGTGATGGAAGTGGGTTGCCTTTGTTTCTAGGAATGTAAATTTTGGTGTAAAAAGTTTTGATCCAACACAGATTGTGTCCTTTTGATCTGACACAAATTGAGTTCCTTCAACTTTCAATACAGGAATAACATTCCCTGTGAAATATTTCCTTTATGAAGTTCTATTTCTGATTTACGTTTCATGAGTTGGTGTAGGTATGACTTACGAGCATCTGCTTATTGAATTGAAGGACAATCACAAAGACTGAAATAAGGAATTTTCTTAGTTATGGTTTACGGGCCTCATTATATATACAAAAGTATCTACTATAATTTTGCTATTTATAATTTAGCAAAAAGACATGGCCCTTCTTGTCGAGAAATGATAACTACAAAGTATTTATGATTTCTCAAGCCAAGCATATTCTCATATGTATATGCACAATCAAACAAAAAATAACACAAACCTTTTATATAAATATAAGGCTCAATTGCATATAAAATCATGATCTTTAACATTTTTGCAATTTAAACCAAACTTTAAGGTAATCGTAAACATATCACGACCTTTTTAAATAATTGCAACTTGAATCCAAATTTGTTTGACGGCAAGTTTTGTGCTTACATGTTCGGGCAAGAGATAACATGCGTCCTAACTCTTTGCTTATTAGGACGCCAAATGTTACACACAATATATATATATATATATATATATATATATATATATATATATATATATATATTTACCTGCACACAGGCCCGTCGTCAAACAATCGTTTGGTACAAGTTCGGCCATTCGAACGCTCTGCACACCAACAACAACTAGTTGCTCACGTCGCCGGTAAGCAGCCCTTCGGAGATGCACAGGCATGGACCAGCTCGTGCTTTCACAGTTTAGTGTCATTACCAAACCTCAATCATGTTGTGCATGCTGGCGACCAGCAACCGGCAAAAAAGCCAATAGCCGCACACACCAGTTATGGAAGCCTCCGTCAATCAGCTACCATTGCGTGCGCTTGCAAGAATCGTGCGACAACTTAGTGGGAAGAGAACAACATTTTTCAACCGAGTTAGGGTTTCAGTGCAATTAGGTGTTTCTATTGGGGAAGAATGATTTTGATTTGGGAAGGCTGATTTTGTTTTTTTTGGTATGTATTTCTGTTTAACATCTGGCGTCTCAGTCAGCAAAACGTTGAGATGTGTATTATCACTTTCCAGGACACGTAGGCACAAAACTCGACGTCGAATATATTTGGGTTTGGGTCGCAATTTTTTAAAAAAAGTTGTGATATGTTTGCAACTACCTTAAAGTTTGGTTTACATTGGAAAAAAGTTATAGGTCATGGTTTTATATGCAATTAAGCCTAAAAATAACAACTAAAATAAAAGGTTATTTAATAATATCTATCACATTTATAAACGAATTGCTACATCAACTAAGTAAGTTATGTAATAATTACATCTTAGCGTAACTTTTATAGATTTTAATAAGAAAATAATATGAATGTAGAATTTGTCATATATTAATGATAATTGTTGTATGAATATAATGAAATATAATTTTATATATTTTGAGCATTATACTAATAATAATCATAATTAGTATCATATAAATTATAAAAAAAGAATAATACTTAAAGAAATAAATTTAAGATGGGCAATCTTATATACCATATAAGTTATATGTTGTAAGGGAATTATTATGTAAATTATAATAAAATACACGTACAACATGAATTATTTCGTGTAATCATTGTTCACGCATAATTTTTTTCGCACTTGCTCAATTAACTTCATCTGTTTGTTGCATGCTTTATCGCATAATTAGTTTCGCACTTACTCAATGAATTTTGCATGTCTGTCGCAGTAATTCGCACTTGCTCAATTAACTTTGTCTATCTCTGTTGCATGCTTTTTTGCATAATTTGTTTAGCACTTTACTCAATGTGTGTAGCATATATATTTCGCACTTTATAAATTATCTTTTCCTTTCTGTCGCATAGTTTATCGCATAATATTTTCTCTCTATATCAATTATCTTCACATATGTCACGTAGTTTATTGCATAATGTTATTAAATTTATCAGTTATCATTGCTTGTGTGTCGTGTATATCATCGCATAACTATTTCGCACGTTACCAATTATCTCCACCTGTCAGTTGCATAGCTTTTTGCATCTATTATCTTCACCTTTTTGTCTCATAGTGTATCGCATAACTATTTCAAACTTTATCAATTATCTTCGCCTGTCTGTCGCATAACTTTTCACATAATGTTTTTGCGCTTTATTATTTATTTTCCCCTATTTGTCACATAGATTTTTGCTTCAGTTATATTCTCTTGTCTGTTGCATATTTTATCGCATAATTGTTTAACACTTTATCATAGCTTGATCAGGGCTATTGTCGTTAGTTCTTGAAGTGAAGTCTGATCTCTTTGGGCATGCTTGTTTACAAATTATTTCATTTTCAATCCAATTCATACTCAAAATCTAACTCAACTTTAACTCAATCCCATTATCTTTAATATTATTCATATAATTAAATAATACAAACCAATCATTCTTACACATCACATCAATTTTAATTCACTGTTCATCCACTCACATAATTTTAACTACCTATCATTTCTAATCATTTTCAATTATTTATCTCTTACGTTTACATCAAATCAATTTTAATCATTTTATTTTAAATATTATTTTAATACATTCTTAAAATCCCACTAACAATTAACCATACTACCTTTTTCAAAATTAGCTCTAGTTAACTAAAATAACTCATTTTGAATGAAATATTTCATAAACAAGCACGGCCTTAATTAGCCTAAATTGCTTCTCTCGCTTTCACCCAAGCTTCATAAATGATCCTGCGTGGAGGAGCCTGATCGATTCTTCCAACAAGATCTCTATATCTCAAGCATAGCAATAGGTGCCTCGCCTCCGCTTTGCTTACCTCCAGAACTCTGCTTAATGATAGGTCTCCATAGTTTATCGCATAACTATTTCGCACTTTATTAGTTATCTTTGGTCTGTCGCATAACATTTCGCATCAATTATATTCGCTTGTCTGTCGCATAGTTTATCGCATAATTGTTTCGCACTTTATTAATTATGCTTGTCTGTTTGTTACATAGTTTATCGCAAAACTATTTCACACTCGATCAATTATCTTCGCATGTATGTCGCATAGTTTATTGCATATTTGTTTCGCACTTTATCAATTATATTTGTTTGTTTGTCGCATAGTTTATTGCATAACTGTTCCGCACTTTATCAATTATCTTCGGTGTGCCACATAGTTTATCGCATAATTGTTTAGCACTTTATCAATTTTGATTGTCTGTTGTCGCATAGTTTATCGCTTAACTATTTTCCAATTTATCAATTATTTTCGTTTATATTTCACATAGCTTATAGCATAATTGTTTGTATTTTAGAGTGTTCCAGAAGTCGTTAGGCACCCACTAGGTGTCCGACCAGCGTCTAGGCGGGAACTAGGCGACGCCTAGAAATTAATACTCCCTCTGTTTCTTTTTAAATGTCGTTTTAATTTAAAACTTCTAAATTACTATTTTAATGGGTTGTGTAATAATCTTATATATTAATCCTCATAAATTTAGTGTTTGAATTATTCATGGGTGGTTTTTAAAGATAACGATAAGAGATAAAGTTTGTTAAAGAGGATAAAGTTGAAAGAATAAATAAAATATTTGCAACGACAACGACATTTATAAAAAAAACAGACGGAGTATTAAATATCATATTTTTTTTTATTTATTTTCACTGCCTAACAAATAAAACTAATTCAACTTATAATAAATGTCCACACACTTCAATCCAAACAATAATATTAATATATTATAATGAAAATTGAAAATATGATAGCAATTAGCAACCCACATGACAACAAGTTAGTAATATTGTACTAACTACAATCTCAAAACAAACTCGAAGTCTAAAACAAACTCAAAACAAGCTTCAGGTACAAATAAATACATAAATACTACTAAGTACATAACCAAAATCTCAAAACAAACTCCAAGTCTCAAAACAACTCACATGACCAAAATGTCCAAAACAATATTAAGAAATAAGAACTAAGAAGCAAGAACTAAAAATATTGCCAAACACAAGAGGATCTTCTTCTTCTCCATAGTTCTCCAATACACGTTCTTCATCCGACTCGAAGTCAATGTCATCTAAGTTATTTTCTTTGGAATTTTATCGAACACGTTGTCTACATTATTATGTTTAAGCAATTACGCACTATAATAACATTATATTAACCAACCAACACTAAATTTCAGAAATTTCACACGAGGTTCCAATAAATTTCATCAAATCTTAGAATTAAGAAAATTTAATTACATAATATATAAATTAAATTACAAATGAACTAACATAATGTTCAAAAATCCCATTAAAATAGTAAAAATACCTGAGTGAGTGACAAGAGGGAGGGTCGAATCCGACGGGGAGTCACGTACGGTGACAAGTCGCGTCCGGCGGCGAGTGAGGTCCAAAGAAGAAAGGTCGCTGCTGAACGGCGAGTGAGGGTCGCTGCCGACTAGGCGGCGCCGAGCCCGCCTGGCCAATTTTTCCGGCTGACTGGACCAAATCGTCCTAGCGCCTAGGCCGATTTTTAAAACACTGGTATTTTATCAGTTATCTTCGTTTGTTTGTCGTATAGATTATTATATAATTTGTTTCCCATTTTATGGGTGAAAAAGTTTAAAAATAGCTAATTCCTCATATATTTTTATAGTGGATTGCAATATAAAAGAAAAAAAAAATACCTATTACACCAAATAACATATATAAATTTAATATGATCACATTTGAATGACATGAGTAAATCTGGATCGAAGTAGCGGCAGATGTTCTCCTTTCATGGTGGCCCTATAATCTACCGTTGCAACATATACAGAGTCTAAGTTGGTAGGTTCTGAAATTTGAGGTGGCAATAGTGTTTGGGTTTATGAGCTATAGTTTCAAATTATTTCGTACTGTCGACTGAAAAGGTTATTCGGGAAAACTAACGACAAAAATTTGTAGTAATTAGTGATTTACGGTTGCTTTTTTTAAAAGAAAAAAAAATATTTTGCAGATAGTAGAAGTTGTAGTTTTCTATTCCTTGGTTTATGCCTTGATTTAAAAAAGAAAAAAAAAGCCATATCTTAAGTAGCCAGAATTAAAAAATTGTGTTTAAATTTAAATATTAGCAATTTGTTTTGCGAGTAAGCCTTATATGTTATTAGGTAGGGTTGTGCACAACTATGTGACCATTGCAACATATTCCTTAGTTAATTAAAAAAAAAAAAATTATCTATTACATTTCAAAAATTTCCCAAATTGCGTAATTTATACACTTGTTGCTCATTCCGAAAAGTAGTCGAGGTCGTCCGAAAAAGAATTTCATTGGCGAGCACAAAGAGCATTATTCACAATGAGTTACTAAAAGAAAAAGGGCAGCTAGGAATTATTATATATCAAATGATTTATTTTGGCATAAGATTTGCACCGAGTCAATAACTCGTCCACAGCTACACTGAAGGGCCGGAAAGCCCCTCTTTTAACTTTTGCTATAATATGTATAAACCTCTCAGCTCGAAAACTAACTTAAGAACTCAATTCTGACTTCTGACAAAAAAATGATAGGCCTCCTCCAAACGGTGCACTGTGTGTGTATATATATATATATAAGATTATTTGGTAATAAAACAAGAAAGAAAAGAAAATGAAAACTATGTTGTTCTATAAATCATGTTAAGTTCACCAGATGAAGAAAGCATAGACAACACCTGTTTTCCTAAAGTATAAACTTAACCTTAAAATGAGCTTTTCCTATGGCAACAGTGTGCTCAATTGCATGGTAAAAAGATCTGCGAGGGCCCCACGGATATCCATCTGCAAGGCGGGAAGTTAGAATATTTTATAGAATCATCGAAACCTTATTCATGAAAAACCGAGCAAGTCTTTACCTGGTCACAGCAGATGAGTTTTGTAATGTAAGGATAGAAATCTCTGAGGTGGTTTCGAAAAATGTCAGGGTTCATTTGGCACATACCTTTCAGCACCTGTTTAGACCAAATATTCAAGTTTAGAGTGGCTTATTTATTCAGAAAGTTTTTTCTTTTTTTCTTTCCCTCTGGCAGAAAACCGAACACAATATATGAAAGACACTATACAATAAATGAAATGATACAAAATAAATTTCCCCACGCTTCATTTATTTATTGATCTACTGATCAAGTTCTTCCTTTTTTCATTCCCTGAACTGTAGTCTGTAGTACGCAGAATTTAAAGAAAAAAAAAAAACAAAAATTATGATATGTACCTTCACAATTACAGGAGACCGAAGTTCAACAACCTTATGGATTTCCATATTAGCTGTCTCTTCCATGTTCGACTGGATATCAGATGCCTCTCTCAGCACTTGTTCACAAAACGAGACGAGCTTTTCTTCAGCTACGCCTTCAAGGTTATTATCCTCCTTGACAGCCTCATCTTTATGAATATTAATTGCTGCAGTTGTCTTTTGCAGGATCTCAAGATAAATGCAAGTTCCGGCCAACTCCTGGCGCAGAAGGTTTAATGGGGGTCTGTACAAGGAAATACAAATAAAAAATATATTTTTGGTTTATGGGAAAAGGAATTTGCCTTTTGGAATTATAATATAACAAGTAAAAGCATGGACAAAAAACACGAGAAGTTTCTCAAGTCAAAGTCACGAATTTGATAGCAAACCTTTCCGTTGGAATTTGATGCATCCGCAATCTGAGGTTAGCATACGAATTGTACGAAGCAGCAAACTCGAGGACAGAGAATAAAATCTCCATCATGGTGATTTTCTGTTGCGAATTCAACTTATTCCAGTATTTCTTCTGCAAGTTTATATAATGTCAAATGAAAAAAAAAAAAAAGATATAATGTTTAACACAGGTAATCTTGGAGAATATCAGCAAATATGAAGTGTATAATCCATTCTCAACATAATTAATTCATGGACGTACAGTTATGTTCAAGAGATAGACAACAATTACCGAACTTATAAGTACTATAAACTACAACGGGATATGGAATAATAACTATAGCAAAGAGTAACTGCTTCATAATTTAAAAAATCTAACTGGAACTGGCAAGGGCTAAGCAAATGTGATTTATGTAAATAACATGGAGTTCTTATCCTTAAACAACTGAAGAGTAAATNACCAAAGATCGGATAAAGATTATTTGTACCTGAATGCCATCAATTGCACTTAGAAGTAACAGCTGTGTTATACATTTACTCCTAATAGTTTCCAACATTGGACTTTCCTCATTTCCAGTGTCAGTATCCATAGTAGCATCAGAAGCCTAAAGAAACAAGCATATTATATCAGGTTCGAAATTCTCTCTAGTGAACATGTAAAAAAAAAAAACCAAGATATTAAATGATATGATAATATCTAGAGCTATATATCCAATACCAAACCTTTGATGGAGAAGATGGCACGATTGCATCAGCTGTAGAGTTCTTTGGTTTTGACGAAAAACTTCTCACAAAGAAATTGCCAATAATCTTTTGACCAAATGTTTGACTACGCCGAAGGTGATCGCCACCATCAGTAGTTCCTTCAGCTCTTCTAGACGGTGATGGCATGCCTACATACCAATATGCAAATAATTAAGCTGAACAAAATTGAGGATAATGATGAAAACAACCCCTGAGGTTTAACATAATCACGAAAAGATCCCAAGTACCCGCTTAAAAGTTCTACAAACATCTCTTTGAGATTTGTACCCCGCCATTCTTTTCATGTGCAAGTGTGTTCATGTATAATAAGGTTAAATATCAAGGATAGTTTTGTAATTAAGCACGTTTGCTTTCTCAACATAGCTCATAGCAATGCACTAACCTTCCGATCCCTCCATATCAGTTGTGTGCAATGTTTCTTGACCGTGAACAGGTGAGATTCCATTAGCAGTGGTTTTCGAAGATGCCAATGTAGAGCTGTTTAAGTCTCTGGACAAAATTGTGTGATGCTTTGTCTTCTCAAAACCCAGATCATTGAGCAGCTCAAGTGGTTGGGTTGTGTATGAAGCATCCCTATCCAAAACCAAACACAGCTTCTGTCACCCTTATAGCATAACCAAATAAAAAGAGAAAGCTTAACAAAATAAACAGAAAATATCACAATAAAAATATGTGGATGCTAAACTGCCAATGATTTGGCATATCTTGATAGGTGAATCACACCAGCAGCGTAAAATACACAAAAACGAAAATAGTGCAGAAAAATAATTTTGATATTAAATTGCTGGAGAGAGAGAGAGAGAGAGAGAGCACCTTATACTTTTCAACAAAGTATCCCAGTCTTGGTTGCTAAATTGGTGACCCCCAACATCAATGAGATGCACTAATGCTCCCAAAGCTATTGAAACTACCGACTGATCTGTTTTTTTGGCACAATCTAACAGCAAACTGAGCAGTGGGGGCAGCATAAAGCAGACATCCTAAAAAATAGAGAAAACTGACAATCAGGAAGCTATTTTAACTGGCTAAGACTCAAATGTAAAATGAAAGCATTCGCAACATATATTTTGGTCTAAATGGACTAAACTATGTCTCCTCATAATCCTGAATCTATAATATCTGAACTCCAATATCACACCATTTCCTTTCTTCCACCATAAAGATAAGGAGCATTAACAAGATGGAAGGAAGATATGGGAAACATACTAGCAAAGTGAAGGAGACATCAAAGTGAAGAAAGGAAATGGGCAAGAAAGGCCATTTCCTTAGTTGCTGATTCTAGAAATGGGCATCAACAAGAGACCACTATGCCTAAAAGGCAAGAAAGGCCACAAACAAAGTTACCCAGATTTAAAATAACAAATGAGTCATGCGAGGGTAAGTTCAAAACAAAAAAGCTTTTACTACTCAACAATTAGAACTACCTTGTAGAAAGTGTTGAAAAGGTCGCAAAGCAACTGCAGTGCATGAACAGTACTTTCACGAAGCCACTCGTCCCCTGAACACATAAAACTCTCTTTTCCAGAAGCATGTCTCACATGATCAAAGATGGGAAAAAGGACTCTTCGGAATATATTCTCCCAAAGTGAAGATGAGAACTTGCTTCCTCTCTCGTTCAGCAAATCAAACAAGACCTCAAGCGCACAATTCCTGACCTCTGACCTTGAATCGGAAGTCAGGTCGGAAAGACCCGCCAGCATAGGGAACCAATAATGCTCAGTTACATCAACAGTTCCGTTTTCTTTGGTCAAAATGTCCTGGAAATAAGGGGGATTAGTTAACAGGTTGGTTAACCGTATTCTAAAACACGGAAAAAAAAATCATTGGCTTATCAAAATTCTCTCTATCGAACCATGAAAAAAATTCAGAATGTTAAACTATAGAGTTGAATAATTTAAAAAATTAAGTATAAACAAGAATGAAATGACAAANAGAATAGGAGTTTATATCATAACAAACAAATTCAAGTAATTATGTTTGAAAGTGATAAGAAGATAAAACCATTTATTCAATAATAATAATGTTCAAAAATGAAGAGTGAAAAGTTACAAGAATCACTGCCTAGTTACGATGGTGAAAAAGAAGAAAAAGAAAACTTATAGTGCTTAGCTAATCAAATGCATTAAGAAATCAAGATCTGCTTCTCACAACTATTCATATGTTCTTAATACCTTCCCAAATCCACAAAAGGAATGAAAGAAAATAAAAGAAAGAAAGGAAAGACAGGAAAGAAAGAAAAAGAATATCTAAGACCAGGGAATAACAACAAAAGTGAAACACTTGCTCAAGCTGCAACTCATACATTTTCATTCAAAATATAACAATACCAAAATGATGATATCACAAATATGTCAATTTCTTCCGTGAAAGAGAGTAAAACAAAATTTAGCAGATGATCATAGTCAGATTCCTATTTAAGTCTAACAAATTTGGTTCACACTCGTCGATTGGTTTATCCTTTCTTTTATTCAAGTTTATTTGATTGTTTATCTCTTCTTTTTTCAAGTTTATTTGATTTTGTTGTTCTCTCTTTTCGGCTTGAATTATGATACAATATTGTCAGGGAGAGAAACCAAGGAGACAAGTAAATGGCCTAGAAAACTATAGACAATTGTGTTTGACAGAATATGATAATGTTTCGGGGTCAAGACAAAAGTACTTAATAAATGAAGCAAGCTTTGAACACTTGAAAACACACCTCTGCAAGTCGATTTTCGCAAATGCGGAGGAGAGCAACAGCCTTCAAACTTATGCTGAGTGAACAGTTATTATTGGCAAATCCAACTAAGCAATTAACACAATCCATGAAGCAATCCCCAATAACCTGATTAAAGTGTTCCAATATAACTGCAAAATTTCTCGGTGTTAGACTTAAACACAAGTTTTTAACAAAATTCCAAAATCATGCAAACATCATCTACATATAAAAAAGGGTAAGTTTGGCACGAACCCTGCTCCACATTCTCAAATGCACTTTCAACAATGGCTTCCAGGTCATCTTCAGCAGCTGCGCCGAAAAGTGCAAAAACACTTCGCCACCCAGACTTGATTTTCCCCGATTTGGATTTAATCATCTGTTAAATTACAACTGAATTTTATTGATACGACAGCAGAAGTAGTTACACTAGGAAAAGAATCAATAAAGAACCAAGGCATATTACTTGAACGACGCAATCCAATATACGCCTCCGTATGGACTCACTTCTGCTGCTTTGCATTAGAACAATAAATGGTTTCAAAATCTCATTCTGAAAACTGAACTTTGCAAGTTCAACATGATCCAGATACTTCATGCTCAGTTGGCGTAGGGAATCTATGGCATATACTGCAATTTTTTCATCAGCATGGTCACCAGCAAAGATGAGATGCTGGGCCAAGATGGACCATATTCTAGCCCAAACCTGAAAGTAGAAGAAACAAAAAACACAAACATCTCTCAAGAAGACATTCACAGAAAAGAAACTGAGTATCATCATAACATGGTGAACGGCTGCTAAACGTATGAACTGTAGGGGAAAGGGAAATGTCCCATATGTCTCGGGCATACTTGACACAAGTCAAAAAGAAGAATATCTTAGAAAACATTGATGAAAGTTAGGATCATGGGTAACTTGGAAATATTTGGCTTTGCAGCTAAATTCGTTTTCCATTTATGTAGCAGAACCTTTTGAAAGTGTTCTGAGTTGAAGGATGTTCTCCAGATCAATGGTTAAAATAACTATACAATTTATTAGTACTACATGAATTGCCTTTTTCAAGTGATCACGCAGAAATAACTATGTCCTATTGGAGATCCTTACTTCAGGGAAAAAAATTGTGAGAAAAACTCCAATAAAGGTACAATAAGCCTCACACAATCTATACATCTGTATTATAATAAACAAGGAAACAGAAATTATATCATAGAAGCACCAAGGACAAAATGAACTTTTATCAGGTGAAGAAATTACCATATGAATTCGACCGATATTATCATAGCTAATTTCAACAACCTTCCGCAAGCTAAAAACACGAGCAGGGTTCTGTTTTAATTCCTCTGCTGACACACCGCACAAAGCAGTAAAAAATTCAACCACTGATTCACTAGGCAATTTGACACTATTTTCGAACACACATTCTGTTGGTTTTCCAGACAGTTCTCTCAGAGACTGAATCAGCGCGTCTCTAGAAACTTGATTTGATCCTTGCATGATAGTTGCAGTCATAGCAGGCCAAGATATAGCGTATTCGAGGCGGGAAATACATTCCAGAACAGCTGACCATGAGTCTTGAAGGGCACAGATCTCAGTAGCACACAAATCAAGAAGAGTGTGTAATGCTTCCACATGTTTCCCGCGCATATCTTTGGGAGCATGCAAAAAATTATACCTGGAATTCAATTTCTGAAGCATAAATTATGGTTCACAAGCTACCAATTCCGTAGCCAAAGCAACATGATCTGCTTTTTGTTTTTATTATGTGATAAGAAACATATTTTATTGTGAGGCAAAATTTTACACAACTGGACAAGGCATCCACTCAAAAATGGATCAAAATATAAACATTAGGCTAAACTCAAGTCTAACTAATCAAAGGAAAAAAAAGGGTGAAACTCTGTCTATTTGGAAATAAACATGGATGAGACTGTTTTTAACTGATGGGTTCTAAATTATAATCATGTTCCGTGTCACATTAAGTTTATTTATAGGGAGACAGTGTTGTGTTGACACAAAGAATCTTGACATGTGGACAAAAAAACTAGGCATAGACTTTCTGACTATTTTTTGATGGTGACTCTTTTTACAGCCTAAATTCATTTCCAGTGATTATTTTTACTTTCAGCAGTCACCCTTTTGTTCATGAACTAGAGAGAAAGAAAGAGAGCACTTTCTGGGAGTAGATCCTTCCGACAAATTTACCACCATATCAGAAATTATAAAGTTCAAGTGTAAATCAAGAAATGGCAATTATAAATTTAGCTGATTGTTTTCCTTTCTCCTCTCTTCTTCTTTTTCTTGTTTCTTTTTCATGTTTGTGTGTTTGTGTGATTCAAATTAAATGGAATGCGTGATGAAATATAATTTCATATTACTAGACAGCATATCACCTCAAACCAAAGTACTCATTTTACATCTAATTGAATCTATTTCTCACCCTTTAGGGCACAACTGTAGGAAGGTCAACATTACTAAGATAACAAAATATTAGAAGAAAGCTGAGTTACTGATAGTTACACCAAGAAAGACAAGTGGATGAGCAAATAGAGGTTACCTCAACAAAGATGTCAGAAATGCATAGCGGATTGTGTCCATCCCGAGAGCATGTGTTATTTGTATACCTTCTTTGAACCCTTCCATGCAAAGACTAATCCTTGGTTGGTAGTCTGCTTCACCCATGGTAACTGCAAAAGTAGCAAGTAAAGGCCATCCTACAACTTCAACCATGAGACGCACAAGCTCAATTCTGTTTGAGGTGTAAAAGATCCCCTTTTTTTCAATTTGTTCCTTCATTAAGGCCTGCATTTGCTTGAGAATTTCATTGTTCTCGGACTTGGAGTTAGTTGAAGAGCTTCTTTTGGGAAGGTTCAAATTGAGAACATCGACAAGTAGACTTCTTTCTTCCACTTCTAACTTTTCTTTACTCGCTTCAGATTTTTCAACAGGATCGCTAGCTTTAGGATTAGGCATCATAAAGAAAGGAGCTATCATTTTTATCTCTTCTTCAATGATGGCATCATAGACCTCTTCCAAGAGTTCATGAGGAGCAGATGCATCAGCAGTATTTGTGGTGTTTAAGTATATAAAATCACTTTTTGACATTTTCCGCCATGCCATGGGGTTGTGAGCAACTGAATTAAGCAATATAATCGTGTACGCTAGCACATACGCGGAGTTTGCATTCTTGAACAGATTAGGATTTTCGGCACAATAGCTGCAAAAGAAGAGCAGTACTTGAAATTTCAATCTATTAGCTTAGCTGACTGAGAGACAAATTGAAAACAAAGTATTCAGATTAAGCAATTCTAAAATGACAGCTAATGCACAGAACACTATCTACTTGTCCCTGAACATGCCTTCCCAATATAATTTTTTTATCCAACTTAACAAATCATTTGCCAAAATTTGCAAGTCATTTATCAAATCAACTATTCATTTTTACACATTCCCCAAGTGGAATTTCTGAAACCCATTTTCCAATAAACTTGACAAGACAAGTCATGCAAACCAAATAACATAAAAGATACACCACTATATCTGCTGAATCCTGAAAGGAAAGAGGAGAACATTTTCCTTTCACAATCAGTTAGGCATCTTGCCCAACAAAGCAGAACTTATAAAAGTTCATAACTCATTCAAGCCTCAAGGAATATGTGAGCTTTATGAGAGACATTAAAAGATTTATAATGTGAGCTCATATGGATAGAAGTCGAAACCACTTAAGGGATATAAAATACCAACCGATCTGCAAACTTTTCCATTATGCAGTCAATCTTTGAAGATTCCCTCGGAAGTCGAAACCCCTTAAGAAAATCACGCATTGCAATATCAAATCTCACTCCTGAAAACTTCATGGAATCTATATAAGCATGCATAACGGCACCAGGGAAACCTTCATGCCGGCCCAGGTAATCCCCAATCATAGCCTGAGAATCTGAATCAGTAAGATAACTAATGGTGATTGAAAACTAAATATCTTATGAAAAGATATAACGTATACCTTGTCTAAGTTGGGAGTATCTTGTAGAAACTGGGCAACTGAAGATGGAGTGGTCTCCACCAACTGACTGGATAGCAAATACTCAATTCCCTTCTCGGGGTGCCGATTGAACTGTCCATAAATAAAAATAATCTGGAGCTTCTAACAACAGCTCAAAGGAATATTTGAGAGACTAAAAACTAAAAAATCCTTCATAGCATATAATAACAATAATTACAAAAGGAAATTTTTCATTGAATGTCTAAATTCAAAGAGAGAGAGAGAGAGAACAAAACGAATATCTATTTTTCGAAGCTATTATTACCAACGCCGCATGAGGTTTTCATTTTAATGACAAATAAACCCCTACTGAGGGACAGGAATGATAAAATTGAAACAAATATAAGGGGTCATCTGTAAATTCGAAAGTTAATTGATGTGTTTTCTCTAATTTGATTGAAGCCACAGCAGGACTTTGATAATTGACACTAGAAAGAAATAAGAAAACAGGAGACTTACACACCTCAGAGATAACAGCTTCAATCTCAGACCTGTGAGCATTCAGCTTATCAAAGTTGCTTGGTGTATTTTCCCCACTTTCTGATTTATTCAATACTTCATGTGAAACTTCCTTTCCAAAGGCTGCCTTGTCCATGCTCTGATTTACAGCTCCTTTGCGAGACTTCACCCAAGTTGCTAGTGATTTAAGTATATTCACAAGACCCTACGAGTTAAGAGGGTGTAAACAGCCCAGGTTAACAATAGGTGACTGCAGTAAGTTCTTGCCAAAAGAAGAGGTACACAAATTATTAATTACTGAAAAGGCCTTTTGTACCTGAAGAGATAATGTTTTCGCTGATCCTGTTTGTAACGCAGCAGAAGACTTTGGGTCAACATTTTGAGTACCTTGAGCAATTTTAGTTAATGCGGCGACCTAAATAAGGTGAGAAGACAGTAAGATGAACTAATACACATGTAAAGGCAGAAATAATTTAAAAGAGAAAAAGGGAATGCATACCATCTTTTCAAACAGGTTAGGTGCTTCAGGATCACAGTCATAATTTACATAAAGGTCAACTAGCATTTGAGAATTTTTGCAGACTTTCTCCAGCATCCTGCCATTTGAATTAAAAAGAAACCTCACACGTCACAATCTGAAGGTGCACATTGAGCTAATGTCGAGAATTCTTTTTCAATAGAGATAAAGCATTACCGGAGAATACTTAGTTTTTGGTTAAAATCAGATCCTTCCAGAGATTTTAGAACAATCACAGGAAAAAAGACTCCAATTTCAGCCTGTAAAAGAATTAGATGCTATCATATTGAAGAACCAAGTAACACCAAGTAATATAGTGAATTACAAACTTGAAGTCTTTTCGTACCTTGAAACTTTCCCTGAATCGTAGTAAAAGAACTGACAGTATTCCCGTTGCATACTGACAAGGTATAAAAAAGAAAACACCATTAGAACATTAACTATTAAACAGATTCCTGAGATAAAACACAATCCAAACAAACATACCTGAAATAATAAAGAAGATGGAGACACTGATGCTCGCAATAATGCATACGAAATATGAGCCCTGACTGAATCAATGAATTGAAAATTCTTTGTAAGTGAGTCACCAACGTCTTCCAAGGAACCCTGTATTCCAGATAGCCAACTATTTATTAAGAGCATAAAGACACAATATCCAGCCATGAAATATTAGCATTATTAAATGAATATATGTCCCATTTCTGACCTGACCTATCAAAGGACAGGCACACATGTTGGGTTGGTTTAGCACATTCCAATTTATATCTACAGGTTTGCCCATCTACCTATACGAGGACTTACAAAAAGAAA